AGGGTATCTGCATATACCTAGACAAGCCTTTGTACTAAAACCAGGCTACCTAGTGATGCTGCTTGAATGTTGCATTTAGCAAGCTTGATTAGCACTTAGTAGCCACGAGGCTGCAAAGTCAATCAGTGAGAGTATCTGCATATACCTAGACAAGCCTTTGTATTCAAACCAGGCTACCAAACTTCATGGCTTCTCAATGCTATTCAAGCTTGCTAATTGCAACATTCAAACATTTTCTTAAACAGACAAGGGTTCTTCCTTCCACCCTGGACATTACTCCACAGGTGTATGTATGTGTGTATATATATATACACACATACACACACACACACACGGCACTTCCTTTATTACAGACCTCTGAAGATGCCATTAGCCACAGATGCAGGTGAAACGTTAGGAGGGAATGCTGCTGGAACATGGCCATGCAGCCCAGAAAACTCACAGCAACCCAACAATCGTGTTCCATATAGTGTATGCTTTTGCTCCTTATTTGATGCAATAATAAAAATTGTTCAGGTATTAATGCTATTCCATTAATTTATTATTAATAATTAATTAATTATTAATTATTCCAGACCATTTGGCCAAAGGCAAAGCCGGTGGGGTCATCGTTGGGTGGGTTTGGACCTGAGTGACCTCTGCCCGCTTCCTCTGCAGAGTGCGACGCCTTGCAAGGGTCCAGCCGGAGCTGCCGGTGCCTCCCGGGCTTCCAATGGGGAGATGGCCTCTGCAAGCAGATCCCGGCCTGTGGGGGTCTCCTGGGGGCCGTGGTCTCTCTGGTCACCGCCTGCGACTGCCTCAGTTTCCCCGCCGGGAACATCGGGTACTGCCTGCCTCCGCTGCAGGCCAACAAAGGTGAGCGCAAGCATCCGCCCTCCCTTGCATCATTTGCCCCCAGACCCCCAAATTGCAATGCAGACTCCCCAGTGGTCTGTACTCCTACAGAATGGGAACGGACACCCCCTTTCCCAAAAAAAGGGGCCTTCCCATGTAACCCCCTGTTGGGGTTCAGCCTGCGTGTGAACCTGAACCTGATTCTCTGATTGCTGAACCTGAACCTGATTCTCTGATTGTTTGTCCTGATGCTACTGAACATGTATTTTTCCCTGATGGTAATGAAAATGTTGATTCTGAGGTCAGTGGCTTGGAAAGTGAAACTGTTTCAGAGCCAAGCGGTGATAGCTCTCCAGAGGAGCTAACACCTGGCTTCCTTAATGAGGATAGAAAAGGACAGATTTGGAAAAACAGGAGTGAATCGCAGAGTCTGCGAAGGTCAAGCAGATTAAGGGGAAAGGAAGCACAGGCTTCAAAGCCTGGAGGCGTGTCACGAAATAGTTTTTTCAGTTTTAAGTGCCTCTCGCCAGGTTGTCTCGTTAGATCAGGCATCATTTCGACTGAGGCATTATCTTGGCAGATTTCCCTGTTTCCCGTGGCTTACATCCCAAGAGGCTTCTAGTGCTCCAAGTATGGTTAGTGGATTGCTAACAGGTTCCAGGTTTTTACAGTGTGGCTTTTGGATGTTCATGGATATTCCTGACTGCTGAATTTTACTGTGGCTTTTTGACTTTGCATTTTCCTCTATTTTGTAACCATTTTTCATCAATAAAAAGGGATTGTTTTTTTCCTACAGTCAAGTGTGGTGGATTGTTATCTTATGGTCTCATTTCCTGCTCTGGGTTGTAACACCCCCTTTTTTCAGACAGGAAGATGCCACCCAAGTCCTCCTGACAGATGCCCATCCGGTCTCTGTTTCAAAAGTTCCAGAGGAGGAGAGCAGAATTTCCACACATGGGACCTTACCAGATTGGATATTATTACTATTATTATCGTTGTTGACACAAAACCACAGTATGTCACAGCAAACGAGATCTCTATGCTGGATTTCATACCACCAAATCCCAAGTCGAACTCTTCCCAAGTGTCTAGGACTGTGCGATGTATTTTCGAATGATGTGCGCAGATCCAAGTCAGGTGGCCTTTTGCAGTTGTCAGATCATGATTTTGTTATGTTTATTGTTTCCAAATGCCGGCTGAGATCTTTTGACACGGCACCCAGTGTGCCCATGACCACTGGGACCGCCTGTGCTGGTTTATGCCAGAGCCTTTGCAGTTTGATTTTGAGGTCCCGATAACAGCTGAGAAGAAGAAGAACAAGAACAAGAACAAGAACAACAACAACAACAACAACAACAACAAGAACTAACAGCTGGCACAACAAAGCATTGCATGGACAGTTGACAAAATTGAAGGAAAAGTGGATAAGGAGAAGCTTGGATAAGGATAAGGCCCTGGCTTATATAAGTTAAACAGGAAGCAGCAATGACTCACTCCCAGAACAGTGAGTCACTAATTGCTGCCCTGCAACTGTCAATCACTGCTGGCTAAAAGAATTTAGCCTCGCCCTGCCTCTCAAACAAAGCAAACACTCACAGCAGCTAATCTTAAACACTCACTCAGATTCCTAGTGCACTCTAAGACAAGGCTTACCTGAAGCAGAAGGGAACAAAATGGCTTCTTGCTTCCTCAACTTCTGTGGGAACAATAATAATAATAATAATAATAATAATAATAATAATAATAATAACTTTATTTATACCCCGCTATCATCTCCCCAAGGGACTCGGTGCGGCTTACATGAAGCCGAGCCCGCATTACAAGCAATTCAAGCAATAACAATACAAAGCAATTAAAAAAAAACACATAGACAATAAGATAAACAACATTATCAATAAAACAACACATAATTAAAAACAGTGGGAAGGCCAAATGTTAAGTTAAAATTGGAAATAATGCTGGGACATTCTCAACTTCTGTAGGAGCACAACTGCCACTTCAGCTCAGGCCCTGGCTTATATAGGTTAAACAGGAAGCAGCAACGACTCACTCCCAGAACAATGAGTCACTAAGTGTTCGATTGGTGATTCTGTGATATGGAATCCAGCATAGAGATCTCATGACATACTGTGTTTTTTGTGTCAGAATAATAATAATAATAATAATAATAATAATAGTCGCCCGAAAGGGCTGAGAACGGCGGTCAACAAATGCAATAAATAAATAAATAAATAAATAAATAATAATATACAGGGAGACCCAAACTTACAAACAAGATAGGTTCTGTAAAGTAAAGGTAAAGTTTTCCCTCTGACATTAAGTCCTATCGTGCCCGTCTTTGTGGGGCTTGTAGAGGCCAGCCTGACCCAGGAAGCACCCTGACTTCCTTCCTTCTTTCCTTCCTTCTTCCTTCTTCCTTCCTTCTTCTCTTCCTTCCTTCTTTCCTTCCTCCTTTCCTCCCTTCCAGCTTCGGAAACCACAACGCTGCCCCCAAAAACTGCCTCGGGGGAGGAAGTGGGGCTCTCCTTCCAGGTGGGCGAAGGGGCCACGGACGTGAAGCTCTACCTGCTGCGCCCTGAATGGAACGGAGAGGCCAAGGAGGTCCGCAATGGGACAGCAGTGGTTTTGGAATTGAACGGATCGGAGGCTGCGCTGAGGGTCTCTCCGCTCTCCCCAGACTGGGAAGGTAACACGACCCACTCCTCGATTTGTCCAGGAATCCTTTTTGATCCTTAAAACGTTCTTTAATCCGTCTTCAGTGGGACAGAGTGCATCAGGCACTTTCAGAGAAAGATGTAAACACAGAGACTCCAGTACTGTTTTTATAATAGTTATAAATTGGTTACACAGACAAAAGGGGAAACATCTCATATACTCCGCATTCACGCACATTTACATTCATCCTTCATACTCACCGTCCCTTTTCATGCAGTTGATCAGGCTTGTTGGGAGGAAGGAGGCGGGCGGGCAAATGCTGCATTCCTCGCAGATCTGGCACACAATAAGAAAGGAAAAGGGTCTCCTTATGTAGAGCTTTTTTGGTTTTACATTATTTGGTTGTTTAGCTAACCTCTGCCATTCAGGTCAGACTTGCTGGAGCTTTCTCAATGCCAGAACAGAGAGGTTGTTTAGCGTCTTTCTTGAAATGTCATTGTCTTTGACTACGCTATAGAATTATAGAATCACAGAATCCTAGAGTTGGAAGAGATCTCCTGGGCCATCCAGTCCAACCCCATTCTGCCAAGAAGCAGGAATATTGCATTCAAATCACCTCTGACAGATGGCCATCCAGCCTCTGTTTAAAAGCTTCCAAAGAAGGCCTCCACCACACTCCGGGGCAGAGAGTTCCACTGCTGAACGCTCTCACAGTCAGGAAGTTCTTCCTAATGTTCAGATGGAATCTCCTCTCTTGTAGTTTGAAGCCATGGCTCCTGCGTCCTAGTCTCCAGGGAAGCAGAAAACAAGCTCCCTCCTCCCTATGTTCCTCTCACATCTTGATACATGGCCCTCATCATGCCTCCTCTCAGTCTTCTCTTCTTCAAGAAAAACATGCCCAGCACTTTAAGCCGCTCCTCATTGGGCTTGTTCTCCAGACCCATGATCATTTCAGTCACCCTCCTCTGGACACATTCCAGCTTTTCAACATCTCCCTTCAATTGTGGTGCCTAGAATTGGACACAGTATTCCAGGTGTGATCTGACCAAGGATGGAAGCAGAAAACAAGCTTGCTCCCTCCTCCCTGTGGCTTCCTCTCACATATTGATACATGGCTATCATGCTCCTCTCAGCCTTCTCTTCTTCAGGCTAAACATGCCCAGCTTCTTAAGCCGCTCCTCATAGGGTTTGTTCTCCAGACCCTTGATCACTTTAGTCGCCCTCCTCTGGACACATTCCAGCTATGTAACAAAACTTGGGGGAGAAATCATGTTCCTGTTTTGGAAGTGTTATTTCCTGTCTAATTGTGTAGACCTTTGAAAGTACGTAGTTTTTCTGCTCCAGAAACTTCATTTTTGTGATGGCAACAAACTCTGTTGAATTGGTTGAGACTCGAGATGAGATATGTATTGAAAAACTAGAGCAAAATGTGCTATCTCAGGATGTCCCTCCTGCAACAACACTTTAATTAACTTTTCCCAAGTTTCTATGATAGACCCAATTAAGAAATGGGGTCCCTCTCTATCTTCAAGAAGGGGGAAAAGGACAACCCAAACAATGACCAATGTCCGGTCAGCCTCACGTTGATACCAGGGGTTTAGAGTGACTTGTAGGTCTTCTTCTGAATGAGTCAATACGATATTTGAAAGGATGCTTTATTGAGGAGGAGACCACAGGCTTGTTGTAGGTTTTTTTGGGCTATATGGCCATGTCCTAGAGGCATTCTCTCCTGACGTTTTGCCTGCATCTATGGCAAGCATCCTCAGAGGTAGCGAGGTCTGTTGGAACTAGGAAAAGGGTTTATATATCTGTGGAATGACCAGGGTGGGACAAAGGACTCTTGTCTGCTGGAGCTAGGTGTGAATGTTTCAACTGACCACCTTGATTAGCATTTGATGGCCTGGCAGTGCCTGGGGCAATCTTTTGTTGAGAGGTGATTAGATGTCCTTGTTTGTTTCCTCTCTGTTGTTGCTGTTGTAATTTTAGAGTTTTTTAATACTGGTAGCCAGATTTTGTTCATTTTCATGGTTTCCTCCTTTCTGTTGAAATTGTCCACATGCTTCTTGTGGATTTCAATGGCTTCTCTGTGTAGTCTGACGGTGGTTGTTGGTGTGGTCCAGCATTTCAGTGTTCTACAATAATCTGCTGTGTCCAGGTTGGTTCATCAGGTGCTCTGCTATGGCTGACTTCTCTGGTTGAAGTAGTCTGCAGTGCCTTTCATGTTCCTTGATGTGTTTGGGCGCTGCGTTTGGTGGTCCCTATGTAGACTTGTCCACAGCTGCATGGTACACGGTAGACTCCTGCAGAAGTGAGAAGATATATAAACCCAATTTTCCTAGTTCCAACAGACCTCACTACCTTTGAGGATGCTTGCCATAGATGCAGGCGAAACGTCAGGAGAGAATGCCTCTAGAACATGGCCATATAGCCCGAAAAAACCTACAACAACCCAGTGATTCCGGCCATGAAAGCCTTCAACAATACAAACACTGTGATATCAGGACATGAAAATTGCAGTGTGTTCTTCTTTACTAGAGAATCCGATTGCATCTGCACATTAGGATGAGCTTCCTGAGGATCACAGCTGTTTGGCACAAGAACATGCTGCTGCCTGGGTTGGACTGGATGGCCTTTGGGGTTCCCTTCCAACTAGGATTCCTACATTCTTGTCCCTTTCAGGAACCTACATCTGCCGCTTCCATCGTGGGGAGGAGCTCTTGGAAATTCGGCAGGAGGTCTCCATCCCGCTGGTCTCCGCAGACCTCATCCCAGGCATATCCCAGCAGTCCATGGACTGCAGCTCCCATCGTCCACTGACCCTGGAGTGCTGCATCCGAGACAGAGGCGTGGAAGGAGTCAAAGCAGCCTGGGGCCCCGGAGAGACGGCCTTTGGTGGGTTTGTGTAGGGTCCCATCACCCCCAGGTGACCCTGTCAGTGGTATCTATTGTCAGTGGTATCTCCGCACAGCACATTGATCTCAGTCTCCTTTAGGCTGTAAACTAATTTATTGTACAGGGTTAGTCAAAATGAATAGGCCAATAATGAATAATGAATAATGAATATTGGCCTATTCATTTTGACTAACCCTGTACAACTATTTACATTAGAAGCTAAGCACATTGTAAAACTGCTTCCTCTCCATCCGTCAGCTACATTGCAAACAGAGAGACACACTGTTATCAGCATTAGTCCACACCTCCTGCATTCCTTTTGAGGGGAAGATTTCTCTGATTTTCTGTCATCTCACCCCCATTTGTAACTATGAGTCACTTGTAAGTCGGATGTTTTTAACTTGGGGACTTCCTGTGTATGAATTCCCTCTGCATTATTTCTTCATGGGGGTATGCTTTGAATTCTGGCCACTGGGGGAGCTGTCGTTTCACTGTCCACTTGTGACACCGATGGAGTACTTCCTCATTCTTTTGCACGCTGCTGGAGATTTTTATGGCGTCATAAATTAGTTAAATTAGCCTCCCTACATAAGTGGTACCTAAATTTCCTGCTTGAGAGATGCAACTGTTTTTCAGGCTGCAAAGGTCAACAGCAAGCTAGACAAATAGTCGGGAGCTTACACAACATAAATAGATAGACACACAGAGGCTATTTAACTGTCCAGCTTCATGAGGGTATTCTTTGATTTCCGGCCACCGGGGGAGCTGCTTTTCACCACTTTTGACATTGGAGTACTGCCTCATTCTTTTGCACACTGCTGGGGAGTTTTATGGTGTCGTAAATTACTTAAATTAGCCTCCCCGCGTAAGTGGAACCTAAATTTCCTACTTGACATATGCAACTGTCTTTTGGGCTGCAAAGGTCGACAGCAAGCTAGACTAATGGTCGGGAACTTACTCTGACTTGGGCTGGCTTAGAACTCCACTTTTGACATTGGAGTACTTCCTCATTCTTTTGCACACTGCTGGGGAGTTTTATGGTGTCGTAAATTACTTAAATTAGCCTCCCCGCGTAAGTGGAACCTAAATTTCCTGCTTGACAGATGCAACTGTCTTTCAGGCTGCAAAGGTCGACAGCAAGCTAGACTAATGGTCGGGAACTTACTCTGACTTGGGCTGGCTTAGAACTCCACTTTTGACATTGGAGTACTTCCTCATTCTTTTGCACACTGCTGGGGAGTTTTATGGTGTCGTAAATTACTTAAATTAGCCTCCCCGCGTAAGTGGAACCTAAATTTCCTGCTTGACAGATGCAACTGTCTTTCAGGCTGCAAAGGTCGACAGCAAACTAGACTAATGGTTGGGAGCTTACTCCGACCCAGGCTGGCTTCAAACTCATGACGTTTCGATCAGTAGTGATTTTTAAAGCAGCTGACTCCCAACCAGCTGCATCACAACCTTGTCCTCTTTGCTGTGTTGTGTCCATCTGGCCGCACTGGTTTGGGAGACACTGGCACAATACCATTTTGGTCATCGCTTTGACCCCTTCCTAGGTGAGGAAAGCCTTTGGGGTCCATCTTCCTTCCTTCTTTGCCCCCGAATTCCTCCTAAGGGTCTGTGCCCTCCTTGTCCGCAGCTGACCCTGTGTCCGGAAATGGGGGCTCTCTCTGCCACCGCTTGACCTTGGTCTCCTGCCCCGACGAAGAGGAAGCGGCCTTCGTTTGCTCCTTCCAAGGTCAGGGAACCGCGTCCATCCAGAGCACCGTGCAGGTCAGCCCCATTCGAGGTAAGCCAGGGATCGAGATGGGAAGGGGCTCAGCTGTCACAGAGCGGAATGGGGAGGGGTCTCACCAGTGTGTGCTTCCGTCCACTCTTTGCCACTGTCTGGAATGTTTTCAGGAGGAGCCTCGTTGTCACTGCAAAAACAATACAATGCAACCTCTGAAGCATGAAATATATTACCAGGAGAGCATCCCCTGCCTGCAAAGAATATACAAGGGTTGAATGAAAAGTAATGCCTCCACCTTCCTAACTCCTCAACCGATGGCAGTACTGGTATGTGGTAGGTACTGGCTTGTTCAGTAGACTCTCCTCTACAGTTCCATTTTCATCATCATCATCATATTTAATTTCTTATTAATTGTCCTCCATCCGAGAATGCTCTAGGCGGTTTACAGCTAAATTGTAAAAAAAATATATTTTTTTGTCGTGTCAGGAGCTCAAGTCGCTTCTGGTGCGAGACATAAAATACATACATACAGAATTTAAAAATTAACAGAGATCGAATGCTCTAGTAAAAAGCCAGGACTTAAGTGCTAGAGTGAAAGGCCCTAAGTCACGCGTGGCTCTCATGTAGGGCGGCGAGGAATTCCACAAGGCAGGGGCAGAAAGAGAAAAAGCGGGAAGCCTTAGCATTGAATGGTTATGTTGTGAAAGTGTGAAGTATGGAACCCTTCACAGACGGTCAGTCAATGTGACTTAAGCAACGTGCAGTCATTGAATTCTTGACCGCAGAAGGTGTCACCCCAAAGGATATTCATCAGAGAATGCAAGCTGTTTATGGTGATTGTGTGGATGTGAGTACTGTGCGTCGTTGGGCAAGTAAAGATGTTGAGGTGGGAACATCTGACTTGTGTGACAAGCAAAGAGTTGGGCGTCCTGTGACAGCAACTACCGGGTTTCACAAGCAAAAGGTTGACAGGGTTGTAGGTTTTTTCGGGCTATATGGCCATGTTCTAGAGGCAT